TGATGGAAGTCTCCAAAATTACTTAACTGAAGATTTTAAAAATTTAAAATGGAAAAACAAGATTGATATTCTTAAACAAATTATTGAAGGTTTAAGAGATATTCATGGAAAAGTAATTATTCATCATGATCTTCATAGTGGTAATATCCTTCAAAAAGATAAAAGGTATTCATATATTGCAGACTTGGGATTATCATGCTCAGTTAGTCAAACATCATCATCAAACAAAAATGATGTATGTGGAGTGCTACCATACGTTGCACCAGAAGTTTTATCAGGTCAATTGTATAGTGAAGAAAAATCAACCATATATAGCTTTGGAATTCTAATGTGGGAATTGGCTATTAACAAACAACCATATTACGATAGTTCATCACAATCACATCGCCATCATCATAATCATAGCAAGACCAATTCAAAATCATTGTTGAAATCGATAATCCATTCAAACTTGAGACCTACAATTAGTGAAAACAACAGTTACATGATGCCTGAATGTTACATTGACTTGATGAAGAAGTGTTGGTCATCAGATCCAAAGTTACGTCCAACATTTCGTGAATTGGTAAGCGTTCTTGAAAACTGGCATTTATATAAAAAAGATTCGGAAGCATTTGAGAAGTCGGAAAAAATAAGAATAAAAATACTGAAACATAAAGGATACGATACAACTCCAGACAAATTGGTTGAACCAACAAAAGTACATCCACAAGCAATTTATGCTAGCAGAAAATTAAAATTTCCAATCTTGCACAAATCGTTACCAGGTCATTCGAATGCTGCAGCAGGAGGAGAAGAAAATCATCAACAACCAAAAACGATAGATTTAGAATCATTGTTAATACGCGACCAAAGTTATTTTTCTATAATGGTAAAATAGTGATGTTTTTTTTTTACATTTGTACATATAATATAGTAAAAGTAATTAGTTTTTTAATTATTGTTGAACGTTAATTTTTTTGAAAAAATCATCAATATATTATATGGCTCTGTTTCAGTGGCCTAGTAATAGCAGTTGTCTTAATTTTTCT